AGCATGGATCCAAACATCGCTCTAATGTCAGGTGCCTGCTGGCTTGCTAATACAAAAGTTCACCTCCATTACTACCTATTTTTCATTAAAATTCCAATTTTTTTTTTTTAGGCAGCATTACAGCTACTACTATAGTAAGGTGAGGCCAAGATACTAAAGTTACGTGAAATTCTTTATGAGAATATCCAGCCATTAAACTGGACTTGCATCAATATAATAATATACTTCTATGGTCCTGCATTAACCTTTTACTTGTTATAATTCATATTACAAGTTTATACATGGAAAATGCTTATGGAAGCGCCCGTCACAAGATTATACTACTGCTACTTGTCTCTGTTTTCCATGCCTGTCTAAGCATGTACTGCTGATACATCACAAGGAAAATTTGTGAATCTAGATAACAAAACATACAAGTAACATATCTCAAGAGCAATTTTGCATTTCTTAAATGTACTAGTACTGTACAGTAATTTATTTGTCAAAACAGTTTTATGTAATATAGCTGACTTAAACGTAAGGTGAAAGACATGGAGAAACCCAGCCTGATGTATAATTATGCATAGGAATCTTTGCAAATTCTAAAGTATGTTGCAAATCTACAATAATATAATAAACCAGTCAGAAAATGCCGTATCAGATGTCACATGATTGTCTTCATAGAATTAACTTTGTTGCCTCCAGCTCAGAGTAGCCCCCTTACCGTACACACATACATCACTCATGTCTCCTATTCTCAAGATTTAATGTGTGCCAAAGGAATTCATTTTCGGATCCAGAATATAGACACGAGAATAGTACTCGGGGACACATGCACACTTATACAATGAGCCAGCATAATCACTTCAAAAAGATAATTAGCATGTATCTATTGTCACAGAGAACAGACACTGAAGTTTACTCACAAATACATTTTCTCCAGATTTAACAGTTAAACCATACAGCAGTAAACTTGTATGCAACATGAGCAAAGGTGCAAACTATGTGCAGGTTACCAAAGGAGTCAATACAGTCCCATAAAGCACTGACGTAGACAAAATTGACAATTCAAAAACGGTTTAAACTTTACAGGAACCATGGAGCATTATGACATGTCAGCCGATTTCCATGCAACATATCATTAGCATAATACTGAACTAGACAAATCTGTACAAATAATAATGGGTTCCTACCCTTCTTACAACTAAAAGAAATTAAATTAAAAGACGCTCACACAGAACTATATTTACCCCTGGGACACCAGCTAATGTGCACAACCAACATAGAAGTGCTCTCAACTACACTGCTGTGTGCTGTGTGACTCGGCACCACAAGATCTGTATGTTAACATATATACAACATTGTACACCAACATTCACACCATCACATATTAGCAATTTCTGTATATTGGCTGTAAACATGACATTTTCTATTACTGTGCTCTAAAGCATAACAAACTCATTTCTAAGCTCTTCATCTTTCAACTCAATCAAATATTAATACTCTATAGTGCTTATAAAAGTAAATAATGTGCAACATTATTACAAACTAAACATTCTACTATTTACAATTCAGCTGTACAAGAAAGGTACCACGCCCGTGAGCAACACCACAAGAGGCAACACCTCGCTCTCGTGGGACACGACACTCCGGCATGGCTGTTGTCTGCTTTACAAACCTCACAAGGCAGGAAATGGCTGGACTACTTGCTGAGAAGTACACTACATAATCAAAGCACAAGCTAGTGACTGCACTAAACACCAACATTATGCCATATTCTGTTTATCAGTTAGCAAATTGGTAATTGCTATTTCTAAAAAGAAATTAAAAAGTTGATAAGAGCTAGTCTCTTGTGCTAAACCAATAATGCCATTCATTTTAATGGTAACAACAGTTTGAAAATAAATGAAATATTTCCCAAAACTTCTGAAAACATCAACAGTGTAAAGTTAGAAATTCTCTCTCTGTCCAAGCAACTTGTAATACTAAGCTGCTCTTGGCTGCACTCAACAGTGTTTTTAAAACAAACTTGAAAATAAAGAATGATCAGTAAATCAGAATTTCATAACAGTACTTTATAGCAAGTGAATTTATTTTTAACTTGCACTTATTTTTCAGCTCAAGTTACTTGACGAGGGCATATATATAAACAGTCTACAATTAATTTCAAAGATAATACTGATAAACTACACTACCATGAAGAAATTTGTTTGTGCGAAGATTGATTGGTAGAAATCTAATTACTAGTACTGCCACAACAGCAAAGTCATTGGTACCAAAAGGACAAGAATTCACTCAAAAAAGTTGCAATAGTATTTCTGAAGAAACTGATCAACTGACACACAGCTCCAGCCTATGCTGGTGAAGGTGGTCCAGTGTGTCCACAAATGAATGATGCAATCTATTGGAACACACACAAACACACATCCCCAATATCACAGACTCTTGCCCAGTTATCTGTGACAGAGGTCCCCTTAGTGTAAGCCACTAAGGGGACCTTAACACTACAACTATGACTATCAACACATACCTTTGAGGCCAGAAGGGGAAATATGACAAAAAATGAAGCACGCACACGTACTTGTACGCGCTCGTGCGTGTGTGTGTGTGTGTTAGATATGAGCATATGCATTTGCATATGTGTATTTCCATCCTGTACCCATAAAAATTTGTATATTATGCAGATACCATAGAAATTTTGACAACAATATTAGACAGATAATACAATAACTCAGAAATTCAAACCATAGCATTTTAAAATCACTTGTGATTTAAAAAAAAAATTGTGACACTTGACATTATTCACTTTAAAATCACGTTCTCCATTATTTCACAGGAATTTCGTGAAGAAACCAATTGCCCGTAACCACTTTCATTCCCTCATTCAGGTTTCCAGCTCGAGTGAAAGAACAAGGCAGTAGCAACACCTTCAAAGTTATGCAGATAATAAAATTATTAAATGACTGACTACATGACAAATTTAATTAATCTATGTAATTCTGAAATGGAATTTTTCTTTTCCAAGAATAAAATCAAAGTTTTAACAACACAAATGGCAAAGCTTCACAATGTTTGCATGGGATGCATTTGTTATGAACAAGAATGGTTCAATTTAAATAGGAAACTCTTCTGAAGTAGATGTGCTCTTGAATAAAATTTTAGGTTTTCAAAAGCTTCCATAAACATTAGAACTACACAGCTTCACTACTTGCAAATATTAACCAACAAACAAGATAAACTTAATACAGATGATTCTTGTTGAATATAGTAAGATATATTTTCCAAGAAAATGGCATTTTATGGTAAAACCCCCAGAATGACAAAGCATTTGCCATTACAGGCTTCTCAAAATTTACAACAGTGTATGTATAATTGCATAATAACAGAAACTGTAATTACAATTAGAGTGCTATGCTCATGCTATTCTATCTTTCAATGTGATCATATCCACTTTCGAAAGTTGAAAACGTTTCTGTCCATACTTGGTATTCTTGAATCACGTCTTGTCTATCTGCAATTCTGTTGGAACTTTAAGTTCTCTCGTTCATAATATTGTATCTGTGTGTGTGTGGGAAAATGTATTTTTATATGGAGGTGTGAGACCATAATGGTACAATCTGTGGACTTATTCATTCCGCTCTTCCAGCCAAGCTCACTCATAGTAGTGTCTTGCTTACTTCAGGACCTCAACTGCTCTTATGTAGCATCATGAATGGGTAGTTGTGGCTGCTCTCACGAGGGATCATGAATAGGTGGCTGTGATACAATGTCCAAAGACCTTGGTAAATTGCAGTGTAAATAGCATAAATTGCTGCCGGTACAGTCAAACTTAGAAACGAGCAAACCCCAGAGTTCATGAGGAACCCAAGTGGATAAATGAGCATGTGCTCTCCTTCTCTTGCTCGCACTTTTTCTCTTTCTCTCTTGCACACTCTCACTCCCCCCTCCCTCCACACACACACACAATTTTATTTATATATTTACACACGCACACACACAGTGGCACCTCGACTTACGATGTAAATTTGATCGAAAAATGTGATTCGACTTACAATAGTGTCGTTGACTAACGATATTTGTTGCTACACGTTTGGGTCGACTGAGCATGTGGTTCCTGGTCACGCGGGCCGACCTGCCTCAATTTACTAGAGCTGTCCGCTTAGTGACGATAACGCCTATAAGAAATTCCGTTTTTATGGTGATTTTTTGCTTTTTGAACATAAAACTGATTATTATATATCACCCCATGGGTCCCAAGAAAGTCAGTGGTAAAGTTTAACATATGAAAAGACATGTAAGAATGACCATAGAGGAAAAACAAAGAGGTCATATGTAAACATGAAAATGGTAGTAGTGTTGTTGAACTAGCTAGGCAGTACAATAAGTCTTCAGAGGAGGCGGCGGCAGCATTAGAGGATGTCCCTTCCTCATTAATTAAGAAAATGTGTGCAGTATGGGAAGGACTGCAAAGTTTTGATGAAAAGAATCACCCAGATAAAGCTGTAACAGCCCGTTGCATTGATCTTAATGACAATGTGATGCCTCACTACAGACAAGTGTTGGAAAGAAGGGAAAAACAATCTTTAATGAAACGATTTCTAGTGCGAAAATCAAGCAGTGAGCCAGAAGCAGGTCCTAGTGGTATGCAGGCAAAACATGCCAGAGTGCATACCCCAGAGATGTCCTCACTGCCTGATGTTATAATAGAAGGGGGACTCCCCTTCCAAACAGTAACACCTCTCCTCCCCCCTCCTCACCATCTTCCATACGCCTTCAAGAGTCCTCCATAGAGGCAAGATAAACATATGTACTGTATTGTAGTTAGATAAAAAAATTGTATTCAGTATAAAATGTATTTGTAAGTTAATATTTTGGAGGGTGGGGAACGGATTAATTCAATTCCCTTTATTTCTTATGGGAAAACTCGCTTCAACTTACGATAGTTCGACTTACAATCCGTCTCTGGGAACGGATTACCATCGTAAATTGAGGCCCCACTGTATTTATAAATAATAAAAAAAAAAGAGTACATGTAATTAAATATTTTGGTCATCCTAATTGAAACCACGTATAAAAAAAATGCACATTTAGCACAATGGAATACAACAGGTAAAATGAGATTACATACTTGGAACATAACTTTTATCTTTGTTTTCTCCAGCCTTTGGTCTTAATAAAAAAAAAAAAGATAAAATAAAAAAAAAAATCACGTTTTTCATACAGCCTTGAACAATTACGACAAGTTCATCTGTATTATTAACTAAGGAAGACAACAGGGAAGTTTATTGCATGCACTGTTCATTCATCCACATGAGTAACTCATTAAATAATTATTCAATAAACGTGATGGCAGGAGCTTAAGATTATTAGAAAAGGAGCTGAAGGTATTCTGAAAGACTTAGTGGATGGGATCAAATTGAATAAGTGTACAAAAAGAGCTGCAGGAATAAATACTCATTTCAATCTTTCTGTAGTGATAAGAAATGCTATCTTTTCCAATGCAAGACATGCAAGTTTAAACAAAAGCAGTATATATTATGACTAGCCTACTCACTATTGTGCAATCAAACACGAGACGGCCAAATCAACGAAGAATATAAGAGAACTCGATCTTGAATGTTAAAACAGAGACTGCCAGATACAAAACTAAACATCAGGAGCAATGAAGAGGTCTCATGCAGTAAGTGAAGGTGCAAATGAGGTAAACACAACAGTACTGCAATTTGTTATTCAACTTGGGAGTGTATAACAAGATGCACAGAGCTGTAATCAATCTCTACATACCGTATTCACAGTTAACTCTTTAACCATACATAAACTAAGAACATTTTTTGGGGAGAAATTCTGCACTTGGTTCACTCAACACACACACACACAAATCAAGATGACCAAGTGTGCCATAAACTAATTACCAAAGTGGTAATTACAATTAAGTGTTCTGGAACTACTCTAGTTCCAGAACAACTGGGGTCATTGGCACATTAAACACAGGTCCACATGCCAAGCACAAGAAAATTGAATGAATTTTATATTCCAAATTTTATCTATAACCACAGAACATTATATCATTGAAAAACTGCCTACATATTTTTAAATGTATGTGGTAATCTAATTATAATAGAGCCCTAATATAATCAGCCAAACAAAAGAGCAGCAGCATGCATGTTTTATGAAGATCAGATTTGTGTGTGAAGCTGAATTTTTATAATGATTCAGAATGTTTCATTTATTTTCACACTACAGTGTACTGATACGAGTGTGGTGGTCTTAATGGAAGAAATCACATCAAAGGAAATTTTCTCAAGTGCTAGCTTGGAAACCTACAGCAGGGCATGAATACAATTTTCATAAACTGAATTATTTTAAGATATAAATGCTCACATGAGACCTTTCATGCATTTTAGTTCAGTAATATTGTTCTTTTCACTTTGACAAATTTTAGTATTAAAATGGTCAATTACACAAACTTCCAGACAGACTAGAGCAAGCATCCACAAATGTTTAGATCAGAAATCCTGCATTTTGTAAATTATCAATTACCAATACTAAAATTTAGATTTTATGAGCCTAAACTGTAATATATATATAGTTGCATACAAGTCCTACTCCCACACTCAGAGCTCAGTGGCACAGGCATAAGAACTTTCACAAACTAATATTTGGCAAATGACCATCTCTACATTTCTTTACTTTCCCAGCGATTGATACTTCAACGAATAATTGAGGCCAAACTTGTCCATACACATTAAAGCATTGACAAAACCTTTAACCTGCATAGTCAATAGCATTTGAGTAAGCCTTTCACACTCCATCACCACAAGAAATATACATACTAAAAAAATAAAATGGTTTTAATCATTTTAATATTGTACAGGTTTCCTTTACCATATAATGTTTACTCTGTTAGGAAGGAGGAATTTTTGCCTTAATCTGTCAATCGTATGTATGGTATTTGTTGCGGGTGGATGAAATATTATTGGCCCTCCAATAATATCAGCCAATATATAAAAAACATGCTCTCTCTCCAAAATCTCTTCACAAAAAACAGTAAAACACTTAAAACACATTTACTTGAAACACAGAGGAAGTATGGAAAAGTGCAATTTCTACCAAAGATACGGAAAAACACTCCCGAATAGCAAGCACAGGATTATTGCCAAACAATCTGAGCTTCCAAGACAAATGGGTACCCAACAGCCCCATATCAGTTGAACAGCTTATAATAAAAAGCTTGTCATTTTGTGTAACTTATAAGGTATAATTCATAATGGATACAAGCTCTACATCCATTAGAGAAAAAGCTATATTTCATTAACATCACCATCTTTTGATTGTGCGTAAAAAATTCAGTAGCCACGATAATCTGGCACTAGTACCTCCTTATCACAACTAGTGATGCGCATCTCTACTAATAATGTTAAGCCTATCATTACAGAATTCCTTGGCATTCATTTATACTTATCATTAAAAGGCAGCAGCATCTTATGAATTAAGTATGTTTTTAACAATGGGAGGTTTCTCACAGCAAGCCAATGGTGTACTGCAGAAATACCGTCCCATCTTAATAATAAAACAAATCGGGCCAATAATGTCAAGCACAGAATGCCGAGAATGGTGTTTTGGTGATGTGCTCCAAGCCATCTGAGAATGGCAGGCAAAAAATATAAACACGGTTTTTTTTTGGGGGGGGGGGGGGGGGGGGTACGTATCTGAAAAGATCTGGTGAGGTTATATTACTCCCTCCTCCATTACTTAGATGGACGAGGGAACGCATACGTATAACGGCTACGAATGCCCACTTCACGGTGATTCGATACTCGTTTCCTGACTTCCGCACATGTTTGCATACATCTTACAATCAGTAGCCGGTAAGAAACCAATTTGTGAATTTAATGACCATCATTTACTATGTCTGATGCACAGACTATCTAGGGCTAGCTGTTTAATTAAAATGTTCAAGACTACCCCAACACAAAAAGTTTATATATCCCATGGCATTCCCCCATACCATTAACAAGAATTTTAAGTGACATTTAGGTGATATTAAGTAACATTTTAAGTGGCACCCAAGAATTTGGGCGACATACAAATCAAAATAATTTTAATTTTAAATCAAAGGCTAACTAAAAATTTGCCACAAACAAGTGAAATACTGTACCTGGTATGTACTCTGCACCATCTTTACTAGACAATAAGAAATAATTTATAACGTGTGCCCAGAGAACCACGCAAAGATATGCTTTAGTTTCTATCTAATCTCAACTATTACTTATTAGGGTAACAGCAAAGCTAGAAGTTCAAAGAGCAAGAAAAGCATTCATCAAAAATACAGGGGTCAATAACTTCCCCAGCTTATGGTTCCTGAGTTGAGCTGTCGACACCAAGAAGACGGAACAGGAAGAGAGAAGAATGGTATGGTCGGTAAACTCAATGTCTCCAGTTTTGGGCTTATCCTCAAATGCTAATCAATGGCTGCTGCCCACATCTCTTATGCATACAGATTTATCCTCAACTGCAACACTGTTCTTGACTTTCTCCCTTTATTTCCACTTTAAGCATAGTATTTCCTAATCATTAATACGGTACAACAAAATTTCATTATCGTTAAAAATTTCACATTGTTAATATTAGGATTAGCCAGAGTGATAGTCTTCTTGTGTCATGATACTATTTCAGTTTTGTATAGCTGTTCTGATATTATATTTATATTGGTTAAAAACAAATGTGAAAAAGAAATTTTGTTTCCTTCTTAAAATACACTCATAGCAAAAAACTTCTTGAATGTTTTAGCCTTCTACCAATATAAAGAATTTCCTCTGAATATTGACTGTTCCCATTTCCTGTATAAACCATAAATAGACAGTGCAATGCTTTAACTGGCACTCCAACTTGGCTTATTTGCTGCTGGTCCAGCTTTATTTAAATCTACCTGACTCCGTGGTGGCTTTACTGGCTTACGCTGTTCAGGATGGCTAATTACACTTGAATCTACCTGGGTGGACGGTCTTCCTTGCGTGTGGAGGCTGGGTTTCCCTGCCTTGCCTGGGTTCATCTGGCTTGTTGGTTTTGTTTTTGTTAACTGCTCAGGATTAATAACCTTTTTGGAGTGTAATGGCCCCAATGCTTTTGTTGACATTGGCTGCTCTAGCTTACGTCAGGAAGTGAGGGACTGCTGATGGACCTTGGCTGAGAGGAAGGTGTGGAGTATGAAGACAAAAGGCTTGGGGTTGGTTTTCAAGTCCAACTCCTGAAAAGAAAAACACTACATGTAGTTATGTTGCTGCCCAAACAAATTAAATAAAGGCGATGAGTCACAATAGCGTGGCTAAAGTATGTTGACCAGACCACACACTAGAAGGTGAAAGGACGACGACGTTTCTTCTAGTGTGTGGTCTGGTCAACAAATTAAATAAAGCTTTGATTGCACTGTAGTTGAAAAGCTACTTGACGAGCAGGCTAATCTAATGCTCTCTTAGGTAATGGCCAGCACTCTCCTGGACATGACTAACAGCAGCTAGACTGTTAGTCATGTCCAGGCCATGACCATTATTGCCATGGCCAGGAAAAGATGACTGAAAATGATCCCCCAGCACATTGTGGTGGGGATAAATAAATACAAACATATTTAATGCAATTACAGTACAGTGCACCCTTGATTCAACGAACTATTGTGGACCAGCCCCAATGTGTTGCAGTGAGGGATTCATTGCAACCAAAGATTTCCCCAAGAGGTCCATATTTGTGAACAAAAACTGGGAATCTCAAAATGAAAACAAACCGTAGAATTTGGTTTTAAAATGTGCTCAATGACTTTTCCAAGTCCCCAACTCTTTATTCTATTATTGCGCCCATCTACTAAAACCATCAAAAACGTGATTGGAGCCATATTAACTGAGTAACCCTAATGTTTCCCATACTCTATGGGCCGATTTCATTAAGGAAACCTTTAATTTTTAACCTATGATATGATGGGCAAGTTTTCCATCCATTTGTGACTCTGTTCCAACATCCTAAAAGCAAATCCTCACATCCCCTAGTTCAGCGAACCAGAGTTCATCGAATCAAGTGAGTAAATTTGACCTGAAAAGTGTGCGTCCTAACCAGAGATTCGCTGAATCGGGGCAGCACTGTATGTCCAAGTCATAAAAAGCCAGTGATGAATGTACAGTGGTACCTCGGAATGCGATTGTCCCTGTATGCGAGATTTTCGGAAGGCGAGGTGTATTTACTCCAAAAATTTGTCTCGGAAGGCGATGGTTACTTCGGGAGTCGAGTTTGAATGCGAGTTTGTTGATACGCGTACAGCCGACCTAGCGCGTGGTCGTTCGGCGATCGTCGCCCCTCTGCCCCGCTGCCCCTCAGTTCACCATTGTCTCGCGCGCAGTGACTACCCCCACATCAATTCTTGTCGTGAATTTTCAGTGTTTTGTTGGATTTTTGGTGATTTGTCTATACAATTTGTTATTATATATCTCACCATGAGTCCCAAGAAAGCCAGTGGTAAGGATAAAGGCCAGAAAGCTCATGTGAGGATGACAATAGAGGAGAAACAAGAGATCATTCGAAAGCATGAGAACGGTACACGTGTTGTTGATCTTTGTAGGCAGTACAACAAAGTGACATCAACAATATGCACTATACTTAAGAAGAAAAATAAGATTATGAGTGCTAATGTGGCAAAAGGAGTAAGAACATTAACGACACAAAGACCACAAATACTTGAAGAAGTGGAAAAGTTGTTATTAATTTGGATACACGACAAGGAGTTGAGGGGTGATAGTGTTTCGGAGGCCATTATTTCTGAGAAAGCCAGGGTGTTGCACGAAGACCTTCTAAAGAAGACCCCTGCAACGAGTGATGCAGATAAGAAAGAGTTTAAGGCAAGCAGGGGCTGGTTTGAAAAATTTAGAAAGAGAAGTGGTATCCATAGTGTTACAAGGCATGGGGAGGCAGCCAGCTCAGACAAACCAGCCGCTGGACGATTTATTGACGAATTTAAAGAGTTTGCAGAGGCTGAGGGATACCTACCGCAACAAGTGTTTAATTGTGACGAAACAGGACTGTTTTGGAAAAGAATGCCTAAGAGGACATACATTACCAAGGAGGAAAAATCCTTGCCTGGACACAAGCCTATGAAAGATAGGTTTACGCTTGTGCTGTGTTCAAATGCGAGTGGCGATTTAAAAATTAAACCCTTGCTAGTGTATCATTCTGAAAATCCAAGGGTTTTCAAACAGTATAATGTGCAGAAAACCCGTTTGTCTGTGATGTGGAAGTCTAATAAAAAAGCATGGGTGACTAGGCTTATTTTTTCGGAGTGGGTGAATGAAGTGCTGTGCCCTGCCATAGAAAAATATCTGCAGGAGAAACAATTGCCACTCAGAGCCGTGCTTCTCCTTGACAATGCTCCTGCTCATCCTCCAGGCTTGGAAGATGATTTGATGCCTCAATACAATAAATTCCTCACAGTTAAATTCCTTCCTCCTAACACCACTCCTCTAATTCAGCCTATGGACCAGAAAATCATAGCGAATTTTAAGAAACTGTATGAAAGGGCACTTTTCCGGAAATGTTTTGAAGTGACTGAAGCCACAAACCTCACCCTCAAAGAGTTCTGGAGAGAGCATTTTAACATTTTTAGTGCTTTAAAACTCGTTGACAAAGCCTGGCAAGAAGTGACTCAAAGAACCCTGATCTCTGGCTGGAGAAAATTGTGGCCTGAAGGTGTGAGAGAACTAGACTTTGAGGGGTTTGAGCCTATAAATGATGCGCCTATTGTTGAGGAAATTGTTAGTCTAGGCCAGAAAATGGGCTTGGAATTGGATGGTGATGATGTGGAGGAGTTGGTGGAAGAACACAACGAAGAACTGACCACCGAAGAACTCCTAGCCCTTCAACAGGAACAGCAAGCCAACACAGCAGCGAATGATTCTGCAGTGGAGGAGGAGGTGGTGGCAACAGCACCAGCGAATGTCCCTTCTGCAGTAATTAAGAAGGTGTGTCAGATGTGGGAAGAGATTCAAACAACTATTGAACACACTCACCCAGACAAAACTGTAGTAGGCCGTTGTCTTAATCTTTTCAATGACAATGTGATGCCTTACTACAGAGACAGCTTGCGAAGAAGGGAAAAGCAAGCTTTCATGGACAAATATTTGGTGAAGAAATCGAGCAGTGAACCTCAACCAGGACCTAGTGGCACTCAGGTTAAACGTCCCAGGGAGAGCACACCAGAAAGGTCCTCACTGCCTGATGTGATTATGGAAGGGGACTCCCCTTCCAAACACTAACTCCTCTCCTCCTCCCCCCTCCTCACCATCTTCCATACGCCTACAGCACTCGACAGTAAGGTAAGTAATAACTGGAACATACTTTTGTAGGTTTATTTAGATGAATTAGGTAAATTAGGTATAAAAATTTAGTTTCATGTGGGGTTTTTGGGGTAGTCAGGAACGGATTAATTCATTTCCCTTTATTTCTTATGGGGAAATTAACTTCGGAATGCGAGTTTTCGGAAGGCGAGGCGTCTCCAGGAACGGATTAAACTCGCATTCTGAGGTATGCCTGTACGTCATTTTCTGGGTGAGACCCGGAGGCTCCCTGGAGCTATCGGGCTAATATGCGATATATTAGACTAGGGCAATAGTCAGTGAAGCTCAGCCTACTGGGGACCAAGAGCCAGAACCTGGCCCCCCTCAGAGAGGCACAGGAAACAATGGCCCCTTGAAACCTTCCCCTCTGTGGTTGGGGGCTTTCCTAATCTGCCATCGACTGGGGTTAAGCACCCAGAAAGGTAGGTACAACAAAACAGACCCCCACATGGTAAGAAAATTATAACCATAAACCGAAGAGAGGGCAGAACCCCATGGGATCCCCTCATGTGGGGAGTCTGTTATGTTATGCTTACCTTTCAGGGTGCCTAACCCAGGTCAATGGCAGATAAGAAAAAAACCCAACCACAGGGGAAGGTTTTCCAGGGACATTGCTCCCTGTGCCTTTCTAAGGGGGCCAGGTTCTGGCTTGTGGTCCCCGGTAGGCTGAACTCCATTGACTAATGCCCTGGTCTAATGAATTGCATATTAGGCCAATAGCTCCAGGGAGCAGATGGGGCTCCCCCACAGAAAAGTAATCAGAAAGCACAAAATGCATTGAAAAAATTAATAAAAATATATTTGTGGCAACTCGTGGGTCTTGAATCGCACGTTCGACTGCCTCCGGGAGCTTCCTGCACGGGTGAACATGTATTGGTGACGTCACATCGCATCTTCTCCAGGTCGCTACAGCCAAAGTAAGTTGTTTTTTATATTTATTTTTACATGTTCTTTTTTACAGTTCTAGAGAAGGATTCTAACAATTTACAAAGAATTGTAAATTGAAAGATAAAGTGTTCCCCCCCAAAAATGGGGGGAAAACTTTATTTTTAGCACACCCAAGGAGGTCACAATTAACGCAGCGCAGTATGGTAGCTAAAGTGTGGTTATAGTTATATGTTGATTCACGGTGTAATGCAGTCATCATCATACTGTACATTGATTTAAACTATTACTCTATTGTCTGGGTTTTACATGAATGATGCTAATATAATGTTTATAGATTAGTTTACCTTGACACATGAAAAAATCCTATCATTTCATGATTGCTTTATATGCAAATGCGGTTATTACCACAAATGATGATATGCTAGTGCGGTAATTGCCATGTTATAAAATTCCATTACATTATAATTACACGATATGTACATCAAATTTGTTGATATAAGTGAAAGTTGAAGTAGAAAGAGACAAAAGGAACATAGAGGAAAATAAAAGAAATGGGAAGAGAAAAGCTAAAGCAGATGCAGAAGAGAACACTGACAAAGAACAGTAACTGCACCAACTTACCACTTCCATGTCTCCATCAAAACGAAGCCAAATTAGCCTCGCCCCATCATCAGAGCTCATAAGTAACTTGTGGAATGGTTGGGTCCACAGAACGCGACCCCTACCACCAGCAGCATCATGTGTGGACAATAGCGTGAAGCCTTCTTCGTGATGAAGCACTAATTTGGCCTCGACTCCTCGCCACTCACAGTCTACAAACAAGTATATGCCCTTTACGAGGGGACAATGACATACCTCTTTTAATGGTATTTATTCCAAAACAGAGCTAAGCAAAACCAAAATGTTGATACAGTATAATCCATTTCAAAAATATACAGTAATATTTAAAATGCATATCCTTTAAAGAAATGCGTGAAGAAATATCAAACTTGAAGTAACAGGTGCATTAAATGCATAACAATATATGAAACAGAATACAGTATTACAGAAACAAGAGATATTTAATATAATGCTGTGAACAGAGACAACAATTTAAAATTAATATAAACAAAACTGACAACCAATACAAAATGTCTTAAAAAATACAAAAATCACATCAAGATTAACCTTCAAATGAAATGAAACGCTTTTTCCAGTGGTCCACACTCAGTAGCTCCTCACGCTATAGCACTAGGGCTGCCAAGCCTTGGGGAACTGCACCAGGCTCCTGAAACCCCACTTGAGCCTGTCAAGAGTTATGACCAGAAAAATCTGGCACCATTTACAAGAGGGGAGCCTGGGGATCTGTGATCAGCCCAAAACCAATAAAAAAAAAAACACAATCACTTATGGTATAAAAAGACTATTGATATGTACAGTCTATGAATTTATGTATGTGTGTATGTACATATACACACATATACTAGCTTCACAAGATTGTCACTTGCTTAGCTAGATGAACTGCGGGGTGTCTCTGTAACCCTTTCTGCCACTGCCCACAGGATGGGTATTGGGGTGCATAATAAATAAATAAATAAATGGATGACTGAATGAATGAATGATGGAAACTATATGCACATCAAAACAAGCAACTGCCCGAAGAAAATGAGTAAACCTGAGGAAAGATGAGGCAAACAATTATTATCACTGGATAAACACGCCTGCCATGATGCACCCAACTACTACCAGATGGCAACCCAGGTCACTATTGGTCCCCACCAGCCAGCCGCCTTATTGACAATGCATCCAAGCATTGCCAGTTTTCTGGAAGGGAATAAAAGATTAACATAACACAAAACACGGACTGCATGTAACCGTGGGAAAAGACAACAGAAGAAGAGAGCCCTGGCCAAATCACTAGCTACATGCCAAACTCCTAAGAGCCACACAATTGCAACAAAGCTCACGAGCAATAACCAAGTAGGGGGTCGCCAACACTTGGCTGGAGTGACAGAAGGCCAGATATTCTCAATAGTGGATATTGGCAAAGAAAGCTGACAAAACGGCAATTTTTTTTTTTCACGCATTTCCCCAACTAGGTAGGTCCCCAATTATTGCTAGATGAACATGTGTATAGAGTTAAGGTTTGGCATCCAGTCAATCCTCCCTAGTCAGGGATCGAACTCAGACAAATCACTATTGAAGCATGGGGGGGAGTGTGTTACCACTATGCCTCCAGAGACTCTATGCCATACATTATGAGAACAGGGATAAACTGCAGGCTTGCTAAGCTGAATAAACCACCCAGATGACCTGGAAGAGACAGGCCTTGGTACAAGAAATGTAAGAGATTGGGTTAACAAACAAAAAAGCAGCCCACACAGCATGAATATTGTACAAATAACACTGCTCCACACCCACAGGACAGAGTACAGTGGAACCTCTGTACTCTGCTCCACACCCACAGGACAGAGTACAGTGGAACCTCTGTACTCTGCTCCACTGTGCTCCACACCCACAGGACAGAGTGGCATGACGAACGAATCCAGTTACGAGCATTTCGAGTAACGAGCAAGCCACTCACAGAAAATTTGCCTCGACCGATGAGCTTTCGCTCGATTAACGAGTGTTCCCGCTGGTTCTCGGACACCTCCGACGACAGTGTTGTTTCGCAAGACGAGTTTTCCCGCATGACGAGCTCAGTGCCGGAACGGATTAAATTCATTAATCGAGGCACCACTGTATATTATGCATCTCCTAACAGACACATCAGGTGTCGATACCCTCCAGGACACAGGCTTCTCATTCTTAGACAAAACTAAGGAAAATGCTGAAGGCATAGAAAACATAGATCAGGACCCATGAAACAGTAACCCCTACTTCCAGAGAAGAGCACAAATCTCAGCAACTAGACAACTGGAAGCAAGAGCCTCAAACCATCCAGAAAGATCAAGCCATCACTCTACTGGGTGAGGTATAAATTCAGCAAGGAAGGTGGATTAGGACACTGGACTGCAAGGGCCAGAAGCCAGGGCTGAACTGGTCACATGAAAGCCAACAATTTGACTAATGTCAAATTAGTCACTAATAAATTGGTGACTAAGTTAGCATTAATTAAGAAGTACGCCCATGTGTGTTACTATTATTAATTATTATTATTTCATTTACCTGGGCTCTAGGAGACTCGAACCACGATCTCCACGCGTGTGAGGCAGAAGCTCTATCCACTCGGCTATGAGAAGTCTGAATAGAGCTTCTGCCTCACATGCATGGGATCCGTGATTCGAGTCTCCTAGAGCCCAGGTGAATGAAATGTTGATTTCCACGGAAGTGTGAATGACAATTTATTACTATTATTGATGAAACTCTGGTTCTAGGTCAAGAGATGGGAACAAAGTTATTCCATGTTATTGTATGAAGATTGATAAAATAATTAAAATGTCATGGAAAGTTGTATAGATTAAAACTCGGTAAACCCAAGATAAACGAGTGTCCAGAGATGGTTTGTTAATGTTGAATGATGAATGATGAGAGACCTGGTGAAAAGTATTTAAATGACTGAGAGCAAGAGAAGAGGAGGATGACCAAGATGGGCAGAGATGGTAAGTGAGCGTGTGAAGCAGCAGCAGGAAGCGAGTGTGAATACGACACAAGAAGTGATGGTGGAGCAAGCCCAAGTCGCAGCAATATATAAAGCAATGAAATGTTTAACATGTTTATGACAGCTCATATTAATCTTATGAAGACTGTTGATGGTTTACTTTTGTGTGGTGGTACTGGTTGCCATTAGTACAGTTTAGTGAGTTGAGTGTGGTGACTGGTTGGGATTTTTTTGTTCTCAATATATTTACCATGCCTTTTCTTTGCATTGCTTTCATGCATCTATCTTCCTTGGGTTTATGCATCCTAACAATGAAAGTTGGAAAAAAGAGGTAACATTGATGATGAGAATTTTAAATCCTTTTGTCATACTCTTTAGAAGGAAAAAAAACCCGGTCTTGTGTCGCCTTGGGTTGGAGGTTGCAGCTAGTTGTCTCGTCTTCATTATGAGCTGTGCGGTGCAGCCGCCTCCCAGGTATGTCTCTAGTTTCCTGCTGTTTGGGTTGTTAGCTCCAGGGAGCCGATGAGACTTCCCCACAGAAAACCAACGTTGAATGTAATGAAACGGCATTTTCTGGGTAGAGCCTCGGAGGCTCCCTGGCACCTTTCCTTCCCCCGGTCGGCAGGTCATGTTTCCGTTTTTTTTTCAGCCTCTAAAGTGACGGTCCGGCTGCTGGCTCAGTGGGCTGGGACGCCCCCTTTCTGGGGTGGGGTTGGGGGGGGGGTCAGCACGAACGAGCAGTGTGCAGTGCGTTTGTTGTTAGCTTGTTTTTCTTTCCTGGAGTTTCTATCCTCTGTTTGGTCTCAGGATGCAATTTTTCTACCAGGTGGGGTCTGTTTTGAAGTATCTACCTTTCTAGGCGCTCAACCCCGGTCGATGGCAGACATGAATACTATCGTATATGCGAGTTTCATAAGCTATTGCTCCCTTTGCCTCTCTGAGGGAACCATGTTCTGCCTAGTGGTCCCTGGTAAGCAGGACAACTTTATATGACTGAAGCCACATACAAAAAATTTGCCAATATCAGTCCAATAGCTCCAGGGAGCCAACAGGGTTTCCCCACAGAAAAGTATCTTAAAACTGTTGGTGATGATGAAGAAAGTAATTAAAATATCCACAAAACACACTAAGCTATTAAAGTTAAAAAGCACTGTGCAGATGGAAGATATGATAAAATGAAAGTCACACTGATAGCCACAACTTCTTAGGGGTTACTATGACTCTGCAAAGGGTATAACACCAGATAAATGTTTGAAGGAATACTGCCAATAACCTGTACCATGTCAAAAACTTACAACAAGCAACTTCCTTCTGTCTCTGAACAGCGGTGTGTGCACCCTGTACCAACACTTTCACCCAAGTTGCCAAGTCACGATGTGTGTCGTGCTGGAAGACACTCATGGCTACCCCTTCTTGGGTGCCACAACGCATTGTCATCGTAATTGGCTCACTACCACCCAACGATCCCTTGTGTGTTGAATTAACAATTCTGAAATATATCCACAATATCTTATATAAAAAAAATATATATATTATACACATATATATATCATAGGATGGTAATGACATTAAATAATTGTTTTCAACATTATTACTGCATTTTGCTTTTGAACAAGGAATTCTTTTATTTGATTATAACCAAAACAAGACCCTTTAAAAACAACAATTTTGCTGACAAACAGACCTGGTAGCCAAAAGTGGATAGAAAACAAGAGGGTTGGCCCAAGCCTCTTTTGTCCATGGGACTTCTTGGAAGAGGATCATATCATGGTCAGTTACAGCACAAAACTGAGGCTCCCATTCATCTTTACCCTGGAAATAATTGTAATTAATAGACAATTCATAATTTATAATCCATGAATCAACTTGCACATTCAACTATAATGTCCAATAGTAAACAAAAAGATGGAGGACCAGGCCAGGCCATTGCTTCATCACTCACTCAATCTCACCCACTCATTCCCAGTTGTCTCAATGAAGTTCAAGGCTGGAATTAACAGAAGCATTACCTAACAACCCAAGTGCAGGCTTAGTGAATGAATATGTCAGTGGTACTGTATTCCAACAATATTTAGGTAATAAAAAATAAGAAATAGCATGAAACAACAAAATAAGGCAGGTCAAATGAATAAATCCACAAGGGCCGTGATGAGGATTCAAACCTGCGTCCGAGAGCATCCCAGATGCTGCCTTAATCGATTGAGCTATGACATGGTAAAAGGAGTTGAAACCGAAGTTCTACTGAACTTACTTGCCCTTGTGGATTTGTTCATTTAACCCTTAAAGTGCGCATCACGTCATATGACGTGCTGGACGTTGTTCCAGTCAACTGCGCATCACGTCATATGATGTGTTGGAGTACTACGCAAGATTTAAACAGCCCGCGGATACACGGGGTTCACCACACCTTCATCAGGGCTCTTGTAAACAGACGCCATTTTAAAAAAAAATCGTGGGCCAAACTCCCGGGTGTTATTGGCCTCAGTATTGAGTGAGCAACCAAGCCTAACGCATGCAGCATGAGCTAACAGCACTGCTGTTCAGCTTGTGACCACAGCATCGCCTAAAAATGCCAAATTATACTTGTTCATGCTATTATGTAGCGATGATATTATTACTGAAGACCCCTGACTGTGATAAAACTGACCAGGGTTCTGATAATATCAGGATTGTGGTGATATTTAGCGCTGTGCGCCATGGAAGGAGGAGTAATGCTGTGGGAGGGAGGGTGGTGGCGATGTCTTTTGACTGTGTGTGGCCCCCTTTTATTGACTGCACTCAGCATACCAGCTTAGTGGTTCGCTATGGTGAACACAAATGTAGATACTTACATATAACGTGTGTATAGAGGGTATAAACAGCAAGAGAAGGTTTGGAGCCGCCATTTTGGTGAGGGCGGTGGCGTCGTCTGCACGACGCCACCGTGCAGACGACGGTGTTGTTTACTGGTTACCACGATGGTCTTTGGGCACCATACCAGTTTATTTGTACAAGTATGGTGAATAAAACAGGTAGATATTTATATATAATGTGTGTATATAGCGTAATAACACCACACAGTATTGTTGGAGGAGAAATATTAGTGTGTCTGGCCTTGAAGGCGGCTGCCGATCAGCCGACTATGTGAGTAGCCACATCTTTGTGCCTTTACTCACCGTACAAGCTTAGATGTACAGTTATGGTGAACAAAACATGTCGATACTTATATATAACGTCTGTATATAAGATATATAGCGTAATAACACCACACAGTATTGTTGGAGGAGAAATATTAGTGCGTCTGGCCTTGAGGGCGGCCGCCGATCAGCTGACTGTGTGAGTAGCCACATCTTTGTGCCTTTACTCACCGTACAAGCTTAGATGTACAGTTATGGTGAACAAAACATGTAGATACTTATATATAACGTCTGTATATAAGATATATAGCGTAATAACACCACACAGTATTGTTGGAGGAGAAATATTAGTGCGTCTGGCCTTGAGGGAGGCCGCCGATCAGCTGACTGTGTGAGTAGCCAAATCTTTGTGCCTTTACTCACCATACAAGCTTAGATGTACAGTTATGGTGGACAAAACATGTAGATACTTATATATAACGTCTGTATACAGTGAATTATAGCAAAAACATTATTGTGGGAGGAGAATGTGGGTGAGTCAGATGACTGGAGGGAGGGCGGGAGTGGCTGGCTGGTACACGGCGGTCACTCCTCGTTACTTTTTGACTCATAATAGCTACTTAGTGGTTCGTTATAGTGAACAAAACATGCAGATACTTATATATAACCTGTGTATATAGTGTAATAACCGACGAAGTATTTGTTCACTGATTGATGAACATAATTGAATCAACAATATGCACAACATATTTTTGAGTACAGCAATGATTCACTCATTTTATTATATAAATATATCAAACTACACACTATTGAATAATATTACAGCAAAAAAAGTATGAAAAATCAATCAGAGACATTGAAATAATTCGGTAATTATCTCTGTGTGGCAACTCTGGCCTGACAGCTTGCGGACAACAGACCGCCTGGGACGCACGCTGAGTCAGCGCCTATAATTTGCCAGACTTCCTTGCCCTATAGCGGGCAATATATGCCACTTACGATTTTTTTATTATTTTTTCCTGTGATCAGTGAACACAAATTAACAGGTTAGAAAGAAAAAATAATTTTTTTTTTTCAAAATGACATGCGCCTGTGGGGATGACAGGATATTAACCACTGCACTGCGCAAAGCGCCTTTAGGCGCTCTAAGAGTTGAGTTTTGTTTTTTAATTAGACTATATTTTTATGTTTTTTTAATGTTTTCATTACTCTTTGTGTTCTGAAATGGAAATAGTTGACTTTGGAAACATTTTGACATTAACTTTACCTGAGCATTTATGAAAACAACAAAAATATGTCTTTGACAATTGCACCAAGACTTTTTTGCCGAAAATGTGTGAGCAGTGCAGGGGTTAAACCCCGAGCATGTTAAGGGTTAATGCATCATGCAATTGTGATTTCTGTGTGTAAGGCAGGTCAAGCTGATGGAGCAAACTGTAGGGTAAAGTAGCAGGTTCATTATGGAGCAAAAGGGTGAGGTCATGAAAAATTGGTCTCACAGAAACACTGGAGACAGCAAGTCATGAAGGGCAATGAGGGCACAATGTGCCAGAAAATTACCAACTATTTTCTTGGTGTTCTGGAAAAATTGCCACCAGTAATAAAGAGACTTGGAGAAAATACAGAAACTACAGGAAAAAAGAAAGAATTGACAACTAAAATATTTATTGAAAAATAATTGTTAGGACAGAGTCAACGATAAAGAATCTGGTTTAAGATTCTGGAAATAAAAATAATGACAGCAGCAATGAAGGTAAAACTTGCCCTGAAGATACACGTTAGAAGCAAAGTTGAGTTGGCCCAGGAGTCACGTGCCTCCCAAGAACCAGATAAAAATAAGAAACAAGCAGCACCAATACCATCTAGGGCAAGAAATGTAAGGCCTCTTGATGTTTCAGATGCATCATAACCCCATCAGATGCTGCCCCAGGCAACCCAGTCTAATTACACTAAGACAGAAGGACCAGAGGAGTTATGATAACAATATATAAGATACAAAGGGAGACGGACTGATATTTTTTTTTCAACTGAAAGAAAATGGAATGAAAATGAAAGGGCACAAGTGAAAGCTGGAAGCACAAGTCAAAGAGATGTAAGAAACTACTTGCAAGCCACCTATGCTCCTTGTAAGTGGAATAATCTTGGAGCAGGAGATAGAACACACATTTATTCACAGTTTCAAGAGCAAGTACAATACAATACCAGACCACTGGGTAATATAAATGAGGTGTAGCCAAAGAGCTGGATCTCTCACCAATCAACAATTAGTTAAGGACACATTTCACTGATTTCAGTTGAGATTCAAGACTCTCATTAGCCATCATATAATTCTTCTCTATGTGGCTCCTTCAACCAAATTCCTGTAGTTATGTCCATCTAACTTGTGCAGGCGGTGAAATATACACAAGTCAACTTTTGTCACAGTTGCCCACTATATGAAGACCAAACCACACATCAGAAAATAAAGAAACAACGATGTTTTGATCTGTCCTGGACCATTATCAAGTCGTGTGATCGGAGAGAGGAATGTGTGGTTTGGTCGTCATATCTTCAGCCACATTATTATGACTCATCGTCTACATATGGTGCCCGTTATATATCACCATTTACCCTCGTACCCTACATTCAATGATGGTTCTTACCCTACCTAATACATCAGGCAATCTCTGGTCACACAGAGGTTGACCAGAGCTTTTTTATCTCATGATCAACAGAATTGAAAAATAAGGATTGCAGACCAGAACACACACTAGAAGGTGAAGGAACGACGACGTTTCGGTCCGTCCTGGACCATTCTCAAGTCGATTGTGACTTTACAATGGTCCAGGACGGATCGAAACGTCGTCGTCCCTTCACCTAGTGTGTGGTCTGGTCTACATACTTTAGCCACGTTATTGTGACTCATCGCCTGCATAAGGATTGCAATTGCCAACCGAACTGCATTTATGAAGGTCTCTCACTGTGCTGAAGCCCTATGTGTTATGATGTCCTCTCACTGTGCAGAAGTGTTGACATTTTCATTCACTAATGACATATCCATCATATTTCTCCGTCTTGCTCACCCTATTTGAGTTAATTATTACTTGCATGGTATATGACATTATACATATAATGGATTACCACTCAAATGAAATGACTAATTCTAGACCTTTTCAGCAGCTTAAACAGACTATGTATTTACACAAATTTGTATACACAAATTACATGGAAAAAAAATTTGCTTTATATAAACAAAATATTTAATTTAATTTGCTTTTCATTGGCATCATAATTTAAATCTCAATTGTCTGTTTACCAAATTCGATGAATCCAACACTAATCTGATTTGAATCTTGTTGCACTTAATTTTGTGTTGAATCAGGGGTCCACAAGAGCCAAAATTCATTGCACTCCATTTCAGCCCCTGCACTGGAAAACAGCAATATCTTGGCAACCTAGTCCATCAAAACAAGAAAGACAAGCAAAATTGTCAAAACTATCAAACTCAAGTTTATACCCTGCCTCACCATAACAAAGAAAAACTGGCACTCACTTGATCTATTTTCAGCTTAAGCCAACCCATGTGATGTATCGTAGCTTTGTCTAGCACGTCTCCAAGCATTTTGTTGGCGTGAATGAGTGCAGAAATGGTGAGGCGATCTAGCGTCGAGTGCAAGGCATTGTACCAGCTGGCAATGTCTGCTTCTGAGGAGCACTTCATTATGAGACAATGTAGGCGATCAGGAGAGTGCAGCTCAATGCTGTGAGGTTCTGCAAAATGGTTTCATGCAAAAAAAATAAACAAACACTTAGTATTTAATTCAATTCAAATAGGCTATTTTTTTTATATAACAAAACATTGTATATAATGAAACAGTCACATTCAGGGTAGCCCCTTAGTTGCTCTCCAGTGCTTAAGGCTCTGGGACCAGAGACATATAAAGACTACTTAGTCCCTGGACTTGTGCAGGCCTACCAGGAACAGAATCCAACTTGCTCGTCGAGGTGAGGGAAGCCTGGGGGACCAGAAATCGACCATAAACCGAGAAAAGTCTATTAACTACAGGCAAAACAAAACAACTGTTCTTGATAAGCAACAAAACATAAGAAAACAAAGCAACGTACTGCAACAATCCCAACTCCAGCTCACCCAACTGCCACCAGGTGGCAGCCAAGATTACCCAAAGTTCTGACTGGTCCAGAATCTGGTCAAAACTCTCACTCAAACTGCCCCCTGTGAGGTGAGCAAACCCCTGAAGCCCACAGGAGGACTGCCTTACTGATCCTTGGAAGCACCTGATAGGGACTGCAGCAGCCTCACAATGGGCAATAAAGCAAACCAAAAGAATGAAAGAGAACTCTGGGGGGAAGTACCACAACCCAGAGGACCAGAAAGAAGCATGGCTGTTCTTAATTATGCAAACTGGGCAGCCCAGCATGCCCCAACTGGCAAAGAACCCCTGCCTACCCAAGACCAAACGAAAGTACCAGGACCCAAGCTGACCCCAAGAGCGAGGTAGCAAACCAAGTAGTCACTACCCCTACAGGAATGGGGACCCAAAGGACCCAAAGAAGGAAAACCTGAAACCCAAGCAGTGTACTCAGAGGATGCTTAGGTAAGAGAGCCCGAAGCTCATGCAGCCTTTGGTTCAAACTACTGGCCACCGCCAACACACAGAAGGAACACCAGCAGGGAGAAGCCAATCAGGTAATCGAGGCCCGAGCAGACGTCCACCCCATTTAGCTTCAGCCAGTAAACTAATGGTCCAGCTGTCCAACCCTCCCCCCTCTCCTGGGGGGTGGGGAGGAGGTCCCAGCCCAATGAGTGGAATGCTGTGTGATGACATGTTGCTTGTTGCCTTTATGGAGGGGGGGGAGTTTCTTGCCTCTGTTCAGTCTCAGGTTGCAATATTTCTACCAGGTGGGGGTCTGTTTTGAAGTGCCTACCTTTCTGGGTGCTCAACCCCAGTCAATGGCAGACATGAATACTTTCAAACATGTGAGTTTCATAGGCCATTGCTGCTTTCGCATCTCTGAGGGGACCATATTCTGGCTAGTGGTCCCCAGTAGGCATGAAAACTCCATATGACTGAAACCCCGGACTAATATTAGCTAATATCAGTCCAATAGCTCCAGGGAGCCGACGAGGCTTCTCCACAGAAAAAGACACACTAAAACAGAAAACTACATTGAAGTTTTATCCAAGATTATCATGATTCAGTAGTAACTTTGTATTGACATTTCAATTAAATTTAACACTACTGAATAGCTACATTAAATATATTTGCATTGTATTTATCAAATAGAGTTTTACTATACACTTCATATATTACACTAAAACTCATTTACACAAGAATTATGAAAATGTGGAAAATTATGAACTTGTTTAAGTTCTCAGAAAATAAATTCACACAAATTTGTTATGTTAAATAAAACATATCTTTAATGTCACCTTTTGAATACAGAAATTCCATTAAATGACATACCTTCACATCTAAAATTCTGTGTAAGATGGCAGAAGAGGAGAGGAACTGATCTTGTATCTGGCCCATTACTCATAACTGGGGAGCTTCTGTCTTCATCAGTGGTCAGAAACCCATTTTCAGCACCCAAAAAACCGGTCTGGAGCTCCCACCCAATATCCGCCATTACCGACGCTTTGCGGAAATAAGGTGTCACTTCTCGCAGATACTTGACTGTAACATAGAAGGAGGGCACCACTAGAAGGGAGCCACAGAAAGTCAACACCAAACAAGTCATAAACCACAGACACAACTCTCAAGAGGACCAGAATGCAAGAATGTAAATAGTTGTGATCACCAGTATTGTGTCGCCAAATAAAACCACCCATACAGTGAAAATACAATAACAAATTAAGGTTGAAGTTTCAAAATGAATCCAGATCCAGGGTTCAGAATAGTTTCCAAGCATGGTCCCAGTCCAGAAAGGGAATTCCAAAGGTAACCCATTAAATAATCCAGGTTTGGTTATCATTGTCCGCATATGGTGGATGGGTCAAAGGGTTCCAGGTTTGTAGTGTATCCATTGTTGGTTTGAAGCCCAGGTTGGATATGGAGTCCCGGGTGCAGATTGTGGGGCCGTGTAGGATATGGAAAGCAGGCAGGTGAGGCAGGTCGAGGACGGTACATGCAGAAAGACAAACAGAAAACAAACATGAGTGAGCAGCCACAAATCAAATCACATAATAGCCCTTATACAGTACAGTAAATAATCAAGCATTTTCAAAATAGTCCAGCAACCGCTCATCGTGGTTGTTTGCTCAAACAACTAAATCTACAAGCAAAACATTCTAAACAAGCTATTACCTCATACACAGTACTGTACTTGCTACACCTTGTGGATCATGATAAATGCTACCAATAAAGCAAAAAATAAAAGAAATACCTAACAGGTTTGTATGGCATAATCAACATTACATATTTTATTTTTCCTTAAGCTTATACAACTCAAATACTACCAACACACCAAACAAATCCTTAGATATAACCAAACTCACTGCATGTGTGTGAATCCTATGCTCAATAATATGCAATTAATATATGTACGGTTAAGAACGTTCCCACACAAGTATCTTACAATACACTTCAGACAACGCAGTAAACCACCAAAGTTTAGAGTAGACTTTACCAGTGATGAGGGTTTGTTTACATTGAAATGGCATTCATAAAGCCTTTATAGGTGAAATCACGTCTACTGTCAACGTGGAGTTTTGCTGCATTAATGCACTACATCAATACAAGGAAGAACTGTTTAGCACTTCAAACTTTGTCTATATCTTACAAAAATATTCAAAAATATTATCCCAATCATTTCTACTAGCTTTATCGCTACTTTTCTGAAGTTTGGTAGTTTCCATTATTGAAACTATTCACAAATATTACATTACTGTCCCAGTCCTAGATACTATCCCAATCCTAGATACTGTCCCAATGCTAAAGCAGGAATTGAAGGACAGCCGGAGAAAGATGATATTAACACTCTCGTCCAGCGGGGACGGATATTGCATCCATAAATACTGTAACTCTACAAATGTCCGGCGGGGACGCATGTTGTGTTCAAATTTAAAATATTTGTTAAAAATCCATTTTTTATCCAATCGTTATGGGACGTGTTTTAAAATGTGCGCCAACGTCTTCCCATTTTCTGTGATGGCTCACGTGGCATCAAGGCACCGCCTGCCCCGTAGTAGGCCCATTGTTATTGTGTCTATGCTCGTGACCGCTGCGGCCTCCCAGTATGCACCAAAAGATCTTCAGCTACAAGTAAAGGGTAAACTGGCAATAGCTAAAACTGTATTCCAACAGAAGGACAATATTTTTATAATTCTGTGGAACGATAAGCGAGTTGTTTCACTCATCACATCTTGCCACAACGCTGAAATACAAGAAGTGGAACGAAGGAAACGAATACGCCAACCTGACGAAACATCTTCATCGTAACAGGTCACTGTGAACAAACCAAAGGCAATCAGTGACTACAATAACCACATGAAAGGTCGTGATCACTTCAATCAAATGGTCAAATATAATCATTTCACATGGAAATGTCAGAAGTGGACGAAGAAAATCACGTTCTACTTTCTGCAAATGGCTAGCCATAATGCTTTTGTGTTATACAAGTACTACACAACTGATACAAAGAAACTCTCATTGCTCTATTTCCACGAAGTAAATATTTGCTCACTACTGAAGTTTGAGCAATTGGCCTTTCCAAAATTAAAACATCATACATGCTGGTGATGTACATGACGATGAGAGCAGATTTACTGCCGACAATGTTGCAACACCCAGACCATCAGGTGTGGAGGAGGGCACTATTCCCTTCTTCACCTCGAGAAGAAAATTCATCATTTGACTCAGAAGACGAAGGTCAGATTACTCCTTGTGGTGCTGCTCCTAGGAGAAACCCTTGTATTATGGATAAACCCCCGAACGTCTGAACAGGAACTTGAACTATTCTCTAATTCGCATCAAGAAAGGTCTGAAGTATCGTGTCTGCTACAAGTCTGTTAAAAGGAAGGATACCTATGTATAAGTGCAAGTCGTGTGGTGTGGCACCGAGTGCTGCACCATGCTCCGGCTTGTACCATCGCAAGAGGACATACTGGGTGGATAAGCAGTAATGCTTAACTTCCTCCTCCTCCACTCCACCTATAAAACATGGGTTGAGAAACTCCAGGAAACTTTTTCCTGGAGCAGGTAGAGTGGTTCAATCTAATGCTCCACTCATGCTCTATAAACATCATAAAGTGGTAAGTACATGTACAGACATGTTTTTTCATTTATTTATACATATGACATTGTGGTACAAACACTTATGTGAAGGAAGCAACACAAAAATGTCAGATATTGTGTCACAAATAATGTCAGGAATGAATAACAAATGTAAAATAATGACAAAAAGTCAGTTTTTCACATGATATATTTTATCTTATGGTATTGGTAATGATGTTCTTCCATTTGTATTTATATGCATATATCCCTTTAGAGAATTCTAATGCGAACAGTTTGACACCAAAATGAATGACGTAACACGTAAATTGATGTTATCAACCTGAAAAAGAGTATACACATTTGTGTGCTGGTGTTTCGGGTGTGCCAATAAGTGCTCACTCACGGGTAACCCTTGGCCGATTTCCGGGTTTGCTGCAGGCGGCGCACCCGGCTTTTTGACCTTATATGCATATATCCCTTTAGGGAATTCTATTGCAAACAATTTGATACCAAAATGAGCGACGCAGCATGAGAATCGAGGTGAGAAAACCTAAAAAAAAAGAGTACACACATTTTAGTGTGTGGACTTGCTCACGGGAAGCACTCAACCCAACTTGGGGTGAGCTGGGGCGCTCACGCCAGGCCACTCAAAGTGTTAAGGAAGCCTGCAAAATAAGATGAATCTGTGAAACCCACTGGAACGCAAAAGCTTTCACGAGGGAGCAGACGAAAACACCCAAGCGGATCAAAAGTGACACAGGGCCCCCCCCCCCCTCCCCTCCCACAGCCCTCAAGATCACATCACCAGAAAGAAGGCCCTGGGGTCAATTTTCCTTTTGTCAACCTTTCCTTGGTTCCAAGAATCAAATGTCCCAGTGCCCAAGTCAGCTCACGGTTGGTGGTCTAGTCAACCTGGCTGTTAGATGCCGCCGCTTGCAGTCTGAGGCATGAACCGGGTATACTTTGGAGGCATTTGTAAAGTTCTCTTTTGAAACGTGTGAAGAGTAGACTAGTTGTCCTCTCCCCCCCCCCCTTATGTATAGAGGAAGAGTACTGAGAAGTCTTGGTTCCTTAATGTTGACATAATTGTCTCTTTGCATACCCATTGCACTTTTGGGTTTTCAACAGGGCTATTTTGCACTTCCTGTTATGTTCATGTTCTATTTTTCCAAAAACTCTTAAGAGTTTTATTTTAAGTTAAAGTTATAAACACAACCAAATACCATAATGCCATGTAAAATGCAAGGTCAAATTTAAAGTCTTCACGTCTCATATGGAGTTAAAGGAAATTGTCAAGATTACAGTGCTTAAATTCCAGGTGTAATTAATTAAAACTACAAATAATTAATATACATCATTATTTCATAAAAGGGTATGAAACTACAAACATAAAAAATATTAACAATGTGACAGAACCAGAATAACACTTCCGTGAACGTGTACAACTAAACCAAAAATAAGCCGTTAACATTAAAAACTCAAATGTCATGATCCTCAAGAAGTAGCATCAGCACTCAGCAAGCCCAACCTGACCACCTCCGGTCTCATAACGCCAGACACAACAGCATGGTATAAGGGCTAAGCTGTGTCTCAGGAAGAACCATGGATGTCTCATATGTAAGGGAAAATAAATATGACAAGAACATGCTCTTAACAGAACAGTATAGCACAAGAAAATATTAAAAAATAATAAAGACAATACAGTATAAAGGGAAAAACTATCTATATAACAGAAGAAAATATGCAGAGTGTGAGAATGAGAAGCAAACTATTCTTCTAGAAAATAATGTGGGACTGAAAGCCCTTACGTGTGTAAGGATAACATGAAATAAGTATATGTTATTTCTTAAGAGAACAGACTGAGCAAAATAGTCATTTCAGTAATGGAGAATAGGAAAGCAAGAACCTAGCTCTTCTCCCCGACATAATAAGGATATAAAAAGCTAAAAATATTAAGTATGAAGGTAGACATAACACAAGAACATATGCTACATACAGCAGGACAATATGATGGCTAGAAATAGCTTAAATGAGCAACAAAAATAACACACAAGGAACGTTTCCATGCACGGCACCAATCTGAAAGTTCTTTCATGCGTGCCACTGCAAGATGCAAGAATAATCAAAACATTACAACATAATATTATGCTGGGACATGCTCAATGCCAAGTAGGATTCTGATGCATAATTTATACCAAGCAGAAAAGTATGATGCAATAAAACCCTTGCAACAGGGAAATTTGAAACAAAAACTCAACCAAACAAAACACTACAGAATAATGTGCAATAACATACCTGTAGCATGTGCAAAATAAGCGACACACACACACACATACAATTAATACTATAAAGAGAAAGCGTGATGCACGCACACACACAACAGAAAAAGCGGAATAGTGTGTACATGACAGGGAAATGCACAAGCATATTACAGACTAAAACAAAAAATGGAACTAGAATGATGCAGCAATGTCCGGGTTGAGAAC